AGGACTGCACATCCATAAAAATAAGCGATATATATTTATTACTCCGTCCACCCAAAATGTGGACAGACAAATTTCACGACTGCAGAAAGGATATTTCCACACATGAGTCTTGTGTAATGTGTAATAAAGTGCCGGAGTGCGGTCGCATCCATCACCGTGACCTCTGGGAACCGTCTGCTGGAAGTCTGGAGGGTGAAGGTCAGGCCGATGGTGAGACGTAGCAGTTGAGATACAGGGGTGTGGCAGATGCCAGGGGCCACATGTTCCCTCAAAACAGAAGCACCGACACCAGGGACATCCCTTCACTATTTCCATCCCTTCCGTGAAGCGATGAGAATCATGGGATCTTGAATGGTGACCAGAAAGGCCAGAGCCGGACGTAATTGCTGCTGCTGCCGAGGCGTGGAGGCAGAACCTCTAATTTCCCTTGAATAATGTCCCTGTGTTGGATGGCAAGCCAAAGAAAGTGGCAGTTGCTTTTCTCAGAGGGTTTGTGGCTCAACTAATACACTCAACTGCGGCTGTGTGACCATTGAGCCCGAGGGCCAGACTCCTGAAACCATGGAGCTGCTTCCTCTCAGCCTCACCCCAGTGCTCCACAAGGTTCAGCACCAGGTTCACAAACACAAGCCGAGCGCTGGATCTTTATCACAAGGGCTTTAGGGCAATAAATTAAGGCAGACAGCGCACAGAGAAAGAGCGGGGCTTTCTTTTTAATGCTTATCTTCAGTTGTACTGCCAGCTCCACTAGAAACATGGATCCATATATGGTGCAGGCGTCAGCTGGGACCTCTTTGACTTGTCTGTTACCAAAATCCAGGAACAAGATTTCTTGTTTACGTCAGGTTTTAAAATCAACTTAAATGATTTTTTAAATCCAGAAAACATAAATGGAAACACCTTTCGTCAGCTCTGCGTAGTGTCTGCAGTTACTCTGCATTCTGCCCCAACAACCCCCTCAGCCAGTCGTTCTCTGCTCCATATATAATGCACCTGTAGCTAGTTTACTCAGCAGTGAGCTGCTTTGCATCATGAAGTTTTCTCCAGAAAGTTCTTTGCATTATTCTGCTTTTTTGTTGTTGTTGTTGTTGTTGTTTTTTTTATTCAGATCTTTTCTTATTTGGACAATAGCTAGACAATCAAAAGGCAGTGAAACTTTAAAGTAAATGGCATAAAAACACAGGCCCACCCTTCTCCAGTTAAACCTCACACTGCTCTAGTAGTGTACATAACCAGCGTTACACCTGCGATTATGGAGGAGAATACAGCACCAGAGGGGACAGAGAGGGATGGAGAAGACAACATAACATGAAAGGAGAGGATGAGAGGTGAGGAAGCACTCGCTGCACAACCGGGTTGACTTGTAAATATGTAACTAGAGACAACAACTTGCTCGGCTTTGGCAGCTCGTCTTCATATAACAATCCCTAGTTTCTGTTTATATGTTTATGGCTGGACTTCAATCTCCGCCTTCATGCAGTGAAACAAGAAAAGGCCTAAAAACAAACCATTAAACATTTTTGTGAAAGAAAATATATCCCATGTGTAATGAAGTTTGAAATGTCGCAGAATGTTTCTGAGGAGACTCCAACATGAACTCCATGGATTTACTCAGACAACTGAGCTGTCATAGGTTCTTCAACTTGCAGACTGGAGATAGTGCAATATTCTGGGATAACAAGCACATTTGTTTTTTTCTCTGAGACGGTGAAATGAAACCGTCTGGTCTCTCGTGTGCGTTAAAGGCGACCACTAGAGGAGCTAATGTTTGGATGAGTGGGCCCACCTTAGATTTGTTTACGCAACTGGTGGCATCATTCAGAGTTTATTTTTGGCTCCTCCACTGACCGACGGTTGGTATCAGCATGTAGCAATGCAGCGACACAGGAAAGGAAGAGCGCTACATGCACGTAAAGATGGATTTAACCCTCAAAACCCTCTGCAGCCTCTGGACGTTTTTTGCTTCTGTCACATTTTTACTCACTGTGGGCTCATTTTCACTGTAATATAAAGACCTGCACCTCTATGGAAACAGCAACCATGGCTAGAAGCAGAGAGAACGAAAACATGTATTTGGTGCAGTATAACAAAGTTTTAATACCGTAAATCTCAAAAAAGAAAAAAAGATTTTTTTAAAATTTGGTTTTACAAAAAATGAGAAAAAAAAACAAACAAAAAACTGCCAACATTGGATAAAAGATAGAATTAATGTGCAGAGTAGTATGAAAAATACCTGGTTTGTAGATGTTTTAAAATGCAAAGAATTAAATCTAGAAAAAATATTTCCCCATGGCAAATGTATCTTCCAGTACTCGGTGACAACTTGTTTCCTGTTTTCTCTGTATGGACACAGCCTGCAGTTCAGCTGAAAAGTCTGTGACTGTTGGTCGCAGCCAACTTTTACATCTCAGCTGCAATGGGATGTGTAGAAATGTTAGTTTTTTACAGGATCTGGTGCAAATGGGGGCTGCAAGGTGGATCAGTGGTTAGCACCGTTGCCTCGCAGCAAGAAGGTCGCCGGTTCGCCTCCTGGTGAGGACACCCGGGATCTTTCTACGAGGAGTTTGCATGTTCTCTCCGTGCAGCGTGGGTTCTCTCTGGGTTGGATTGGTGATTCTAAATTGTCCGTAGGTGTGAATGTGAGTGTGCTTGGTTGTCTGTTCTAAGTGTAGCCCTGTGATATACTGGTGACCTGTCCAGGTGAACCTGCCTTCACCCTGAGTCAGCTGAGATAGACTTGGATTTGTTTACGCAACTGGTGGCACCATTTAGAGTTTATTTTTGGCCCTAGTGAGGATTAAGTGGTGTATAGATGATGGATGGATGGATGGTGCAAATGGTTTATTTGGGCAAATTTTCTAAACGAACCCTGATGAAATATTGTGATTTTAACCTGAGATTTGGTTCACTCTTCAACAGATCCACATCCAAACCCGCCAGCTGCTTTCAACATGTTTGTTTGACCTCAAGGATGCACACAATGTGTTGTGACATATGGTTGAAGTTTGTTTCCAAGAAAACTCCATGTTCCACCTTTAAGAACTGGAGTCAGGGTGTGTTCTGCTAGATACAAGCCCAAAAGTAGATAAATGTGGTGTTTCTTGTTTGTTAAAGATACGCGAACATGTCAGTTTTTGGTCTTTGATCAAGGTATGGTTCCACTTGTCTGACTCACCAGATGTCGACATTCGGCTGATATCAAGCAGAGGGCTCATAGGAAACCAAATTTCATACGATCTAATAAGCCTAAGCAGCCACACAAGAAGAGAGCAATGTTTCCCTCTTTGTTTAAGACACTAAATGCTTTAATTCATGTCACAGAGGCCACATGGAATTAAAGATAAAGATAAGATAAAGATAACTTTATTGATCCCACAGTGGGGAAAGTTAAAGTTAAAGCATCATTAATCCATGTGAATGTATTTGCTCTGAGTGCTGTAGAGACAGTGGCAGCCTTCAGCTCCTCGTTTTGTTTTTGGGAGAAAGTTGCTTCTTCAGAGTAATAAGCACACTCATCCACTCTTCCTTCATCCGTGCTCTTTCAGTGACCCCCGTAAGCAGCTGGTATTGTTTAAACTTCAAAGAGTGATGAAGATTTTCAACCACATATTTTCAGTGTTTTGCTAATTTTCAATTCTTGCACGTGGCTGATATTAATGATGAAAGTCCCCCGAGAGTTTGTGGCAGCCTTTGTGGTTGAGTGCTGAGCATCTAAGCTTAACTGAGACCAGGACAGCAGGATCAGAGAGAGGCAGGGCGGCAGCGATAGAAGCCAACAGTCTACTGACAGCCTGCTGAGCCTGACATGGCCTGTTTATAATAAATAGGAACAGAAGACAAAAGGCTCAGACGAGCTCAGATCAGCTGCAATGAGCTGCACTCGCACACAATTACTACTGCCATGTCCAAATGCTGCAAGTACAGAGAAAGATTATAAATAGGGAAATATGCTTTTTTTTAAATTATTTTTTTTTAAAGATACTCAACCACAAAAACAAACAAAAAGTAACTGCTTTTGGGAAAATGCAGTCGTGTTTTCCCCAAAATCCTTCATTAGACTGTTTTATAGTTTGTGCTGACTGAACAACATGCCTCGCTACAGAAGATCCAAACTGGCCAAACATCGACAAGATTCTTGTTTTTACTGACAAAAATAATGAGCTTGTTTATGGAGTAGATTTTACTATTGATATTAAATATCCCTACAAAATCTGAAGTTACTGCAAGTGGAAAATCATGTTTTAAATTCACTCTGGTACATGGTATTTGTCGTTAAGACCATTGTTACAGACATTTTTCATCCACTGATGCTTTAATTTATGCCTTCATATTGTTGTACGGTATTTATGCAGAGTCCCTTTATCCCACATCGGTGCTACATAAGCAACAGTGAGGTATTCTGTTTATTTAAATGTCTCATTGCAGGTTGTGTTTTCAGAGTTTGGATATGTTCATATACATATATATATACTGGAATATATAAACTGTATAAGAGGAGGCTGAGAAACCCAAGCAGATGTGGCTGTTGTTTAGATATTGTGGTCTTGTTTGGATTACATGAGGAATGTTACTGCAAAGAAGGTGGCTCCAAAATGTTTGACTCTGAACAACGTATGGGGCATTTGGCAAAAGAACAAACACGAGAGAGTTCGATTTATTTTTTTATCGTCATCATTTCTAAGTGGAGACGGTCAGAGAGCGAGTAGAGGGCACCCGCAAATGTTTGTACGAGCTCCTGATGAGGTAATTGATGTAAATGAGGAGCTCGGGATGAAAGTTCCCTGCAGAAACGGAAGCAAGAGGGCAAATAAATACTCATTTATGAGGATGCAACGTTTTATTTGAAATACTTCTTAGATAGTTTGATGCAACATATTTCACTATAACTGATGACACTTCAGGAAATCCACTCGTGTCTGAACAAAAAAGATCAGTGATGGGGAGCTGAACTCAGTGTTTGACTTTTAAAAACTAATATTTGGATTACTTGAAACAAAAATCAAAACTCTTCCCCCAACACTGCGACTGTAGTTATGAATGGAACAATGGCCGTCAATAAGACAAGCAGTGATACAAATTAGCGAGGAACAGCTTTCGGATGTGGCGCACACAGCCGCTGGCGTATTCCTGGAGCTCCTCGACATCAGAGCGCATCATTTGCAACAGGGGCTGTGGAGACAAACAGAACTGAGGTTTCAGCTGACAGGGTTCCTAAAGAACCATTGTTTTCCAAAAGCTAACTGACACACATCCAGCACACAAATAAGAAGCTTGCTGCAGATGTTTCCATGTGAGCAGCAGCAGCAGACTCTGCACAGCATCACCAACCGGCGAGGGCTGCAGAGATACACAGTGGCTGTGTGGCAACGGTCTCAAACTGCACTGGCACGTGTCCTCCTGTGTGGAAGTGTGTCAGCATTCAGTGTGTGTGTGTGTGTGTGTGTGTGTGTGTGTCCCATGCCTCAGCAAAGGGGTTACAGCTGCGTGCACACATGCTTCTGTAAGTTTGTTCAGATGAAAGTCGTGCAGGGCAGGCTCGACATTAAAAACCTGAGCATGAACCACACCACTCCACAGCCTTTCCGCCGCTCCAAAGGTCAGATTATATCCGACTATTAGTGGCTTGTGTAATGGAACTCGTTAGATCTTATTGCAGAACAAGGTTTTGAGCTCTCCAGAAAATCTCTAGCTTTGGAAGTTTATTTTTTGGTTATATAAAATTGAACATCTAAAAGATATGTTCAAAGAGCTGCGTATTACGTAGAGCGAGACAGAAAGGAGCACAGTGGATATATGGACTTCCACTGAGTGGCATGTGTGTGTTTTTTAGGGGGAGCTTTTTTTTTCTCCCTCCCGTTTTATCTGCAGCAAAATCACTACATTATGTTTGCGGGCGGCTGTGGGGCAGAATCAAAATAAAAGTAAATGTAAGCATAAATACTCCGGTGCAATGGATGAATTTAAATTTGTTCAATGTGTGCCGTGTGGTAAAATCACAATGGTGTGCCACTGAGGTTTCTGAAGCCACACTTGCAATTATTTCGGATGGTCTTGTTTACATCGATAATGAACGAATGGCAACATTACATCCCTCAACTAAGCACTTAAAGACTCCCTGCTTCTAAACAAAACGAAAACCTTGATAAATATACTGTTGAGACGTCTGAGGCACTTTTAAGCTCCATATATCTGCAGTCAATGAAAAGGGATTTTGAAAAAGACTTCTTTAAGAAAGAGCAGGCTTACAAGTGCTGTGATTGAACACCGTCTGGATCGTTCCTCTGGTTTCTGTGCAACATGTCTGATCCCTGGTAATCCGGAGCAACACAGAGGACAAAACCTCCACTAGACTGTCACTGTCAATGGAAACGATCCAACAAACAAGCCAGACTGACTTCAGAACGCCTCTAAAAGCTCCTACTAACCTGCGCTTTCTCAATTTCTGTCTCCCTTTTATTCAAACCTCACTCATCCTGTCCAGCACTGGCTCCATATATCCACAAAGGAAGTGATCCTTTGTCTTTTTCACACAAATGAAACATCAACTGGAATAATAATTTTCAGTAACACATCATGCTTGGATTTCACCTGATCTCCATCCAGCCGATCAGGTCTTGGGACAAACTTGAGTCTCTTTTCCTCCCAAGTTATCGCTGTTGTAATGCAGGACGTCAAAGCCGAGCTGATCTCCACCTCTCTCTATGTTACATGCAAACTTAAGACACCACTCCACACATTTGTGTGGTTAGCAAACAGCCAAAGAAGCAGAGAGAAGACATTCCCAGGATTTTCAGCGCAAAGACAAACAGTGAAAGAAAAACAGATAAAAGCTGAGGTGAGCCGGCTTGTGTGTCTGAGCATGAAGGGGCTGTGAACCTTCAGCATAAAATTAAAACGCTAATATCCTTCCTCTTCATTAGAATCACTTCATTTTGTGGAAAAAAGGCCGTCCAAGATGTCAGTTCCTCAATGAACTAGTGTCGAGGTGTATGTGTGAAACATTTGCCCTCCGGTTTTATATGATTTTTAAATAGCATCCAAAACACCTCCGAAAGCAAACTTACATCCACAGGCTCCAGAAAACATGCAGCTCGCTAAACAAGTCTCTTTTGTGAAAAGAGAGGATGCCTGAGAAGTGCCAGAGGCAGCGTTTTTGCCAACCTCATAGCACGTTATTCAGACGTCGCCAAATAAGGTCTCCCGAAGCGCACAGCTAGGCTAAGATAAGCGTGTCTCTCTTTGCTGATTTTTTCTAGCTCGCTCTTTCCCTCCCAGCTGGGATCTCTAGGAATATAATACACCACTTGTTAGATATTCCCTCACTGTGGTAACATGAACACTTGCTCCACGTTTTAAAAACTGAATCGTGAGTTTTTGAGGTTTTTGCACGCTCCAGTGAGTCCTGGCCTTCGAGAAGGGAGCTGGGGACCAGGCCTCCCCTCCCCAGCGGAGGTGTGGGAGGGGCAGGCGTGCAGTCTGGGAGGGCTGCACATATTGTTGTATGTGTACACACACATTCTATCGCCCATGGAGGTGTCACAGTGTTAAGTGTGCTCTGTTGGACTATGTCTGCCTGCAGGAGCTGAGGCAGAAATTCCCCTGTGCCAGGTCTGACAGCCATTATGGCTCCATCACCCCCCTCCCACCTCCCCAACACCCATCCCAGCATTCCCATGTTTTAGACTCCACAGTGGAGGCAAACAGTACAAACAGACAGCAGTGTTTAGCTGGGTTGAAGGGAAGCTGATGAGGGAAGTGAAGGTAAACAACATTCCCTGAAGCTTCCAGTGAGCCAGAGACTGCTAAGCTGCTTTTTCTGTGTCTCTAAAGAGGAAGAGGAAAAGGAGGGAGGGAAGCTCTCAAATCAATGACTTTCAGGGGAAAGTTTCATTCTGAACCCTTGGCCTGTTCAACCTGAGAAAAGCGGTATAAGGGCGACAGGCTTAAGGCTCTAAATCATTACGCTCCACGGATCTCAAAAACACGGTAGTCATAGCAGAGCACAGTGTCTGGATCATCTGCTCACCACAACCTGAAGTCATGTTTCACACAAACCCAGAGGAAGCTGCAGACGTAAACCTGTGATGCTCGGCTTGGTTTTACTCCTCTCCTCACATTTGTGCAATTTTTGGCCCCCCACAGTCTCACTGCCCACTTTCCCTTCTGAAGTCTGAGCATGTAAGAGAAAAAAAAACAAAACATTACAATAAACACTCACAGCGCCTGAGCTAAAGTGTACTCATGGCAACAAAAGTGCAAACGTTTTTCTCATTTAGATTATTAAAAGCTTAAAATACATAGCAGGACCTGGCAAAGGCTGCGCTTTGGAATACCTTCAGTTGAAAATTACCAATAATTACCATCCACATTTTGTAATTTTCATCAATTTACTTCACAAAGCTTTTTTTTTGTTTTGTTAGAAAGAGCCTCTTTAAGACAAATAGCTGGCTGAAACTGTCTGCAAGGATTTATGGTTTCAGCAAACAATCCCCAGCACTTTGGAAGCAATGTAAAGCACAGAGGAAAGGCATGTTGATTTTATACATGACACAAAATGAAGCACATCCGTATAAAACTGCGAGATACCAAGAGTGGATGTCAAATCAAACAGCCAGGGCGATTCATCTCTCAGGATAAAACTCTCCTTTTGTTGGTGTGTATTTCCTCTGAGAGAGAGCACCTGAATTCCTTTCCTTGAACAAGGTCTGATCTGATCCAACACATTCTGCAAAAAAATGTAGGTAACAAAGTCTAGGAACAAAAAGGGGCTTCATCCAAAACCTGAAATTAAACTGATTTATTTGAGATGTTTAAGACTCATAGCATTGAAAGTAAATAACTGAATGGACAAATTTTGAATGTTTGGGTTAAGGTAGAATAAAAACATTAGGACGGGTCACTAATGTGTTTTCCAGCGTGAAATACTTTCTTTTCAATGCTTAATTTCCCCCGTGAATCTTAGGGGACTGGGCCATACACCATTAAGTGTGCTAGAGAGGAAAGTTACTTTCTAAATCAGCTTTGGAGCAGGAGAGACCTCTGCTCGTTTGAAACTGTATACTACACGTGGGTGAGCATGTTTTGAGAGCTTCTCAACGGCACAGAAAACCTCTTTGAAATACAGTTGCAATAATACAAGAAGCAGTCCAGAATTTTACACAAGGCCGTAAATTAGACACGGAGCACTGTATCAATCCTTGATAAACCTTCTCCAACCTATTCAGAACATTTGGAGATATTGTTTTAACACATTCTTCCTAACAGTTGCCTGTATATCACGAAGCACAGCATTACAGTGCACTCTCAGTGGTGGAGACTGACAAGCTCCCACATTGTAATGTTTCCTCCGGGGTCAGGCAGGTAAGTATCAGCCTCCCCGTCCAGACTGGCTGAGACTGAGGCCAGACTGAACAATGAGGCTGCCTGTGTTGTGTTTCCATGTCTGAGATTAAGAACAAATGCAATGCTGGTGCAGTTACGTGGCCTTTGGTAATTAAGCTCTTTAAAAGTCCAAAAATACATTATGGAGTAGTGTTGCAACTCTTAACTGGTACATTAATAAGGGCAAACACAGAGACAGATTAAAAAGGGTGGTATGTCTTGAATTTGCACACACACACCCATATTGACACACTAGAATGTCAAATATAGTCACACACACACACACACACACACAGCGAGCAAAAAAGAGGGCTTGTCCAGTTTTTGTCGTGGCTCATACTACAAAAAGCATTCAGCTTAACGACTTTTGCAAATTGGACATAACTCTTTCGGAACACCCAGTGTTCAGTCCAACTAACCAATTATGGCTGGTGTTGAACCACATACACTGTAACAGCAGATCAGACTAAAGTACACCATTTAATGAACATGGGAAAAAAATAAACTGGCTGCAATGGAATAACCACTTCATAATTTATATCACAGTTGTTATTTGGGGGGGGGTTAAAATCACTATGGCCACAAAAAGATTTCTCATGTGAAAGTCTTTCTGTGAAACATGATTGAATTAGAGAATGAGATATAAATGTTTTCCTAAAATGCTGGAGCATGGGTACATGATCATCTGTGACAAGACATCAATTAGAGCGTAATCTCAACATAAAATCTCTACATCACTGTCGGAGACAAACATAAACAGTCTCCGGAGCTGAGCATGGAAACAGCCCGACAGGCTCAAATGTTAGACAAAACAATGCTTGTTTCTTTTTGGAAGAGCGCTACACAACTGCCATGATGAAGAAAGCTGGCGGATGTAGCCTGACTAAGAAGAGAAAAAGTTGACCATAAAAAAACATTGTTCTCTTTTAGCCTCGAACAGCACTGACCCCACTCCTTGGCCTGAACCATATCGCTGCTGCATTCTACCCTGACGTCCAGGAACAGCCCTTAGCAACAGTTACCCCCAGCTACAGCCCTTTGACTTGTGCTGTAATGGCATCTAGGGTCTACCGTAGAAATGGCACTTTGCACACACTGAGCTGTTTGCTTTTCTGAATTCCCATGACGGCTAGAAAGTGGAGTCATGTTTCCGCTGCCGAATAAAACCCACTTTGTTTCTGCTCCATCGGTCAAAGGCTCTGAAAATAGTCACAGCTTTTCAAAGTTTATTACTCAGTGTTTTTCACACATCACTAAAACAAGGGTGGTGGGAGACCAAAGCCCATTTTCCTTAATGCAATTATACCCGATTTAGTCTCAAAAGCAACAAATAAACTACAAGAAATAATTACTTTGTAAATTATCTACAAAAAAAACATTAATGAGTAAGAAAGGCAGCTGCAACAACACTGAGACTGACCTTCACCACTTTTGTCGCATGCATGATGATGACATTGTTGGGGTCCCAGGACAGTTGGTACAGGGCCTTGGCTGTGCTCAGGTGGACCGCAGCGTCCTTTGATTTAAGGAAACGCACCAGCGGAGCTACAGCTCCAACCTTACCGAAGGATTCCCTATTGCTGCCCCACATGCAGCAGTAGTGGATGGCTTCAGCCAGGTGGTGACGGAGCCTGTCATCAGTCTGTGGAGAGAAAAACTGGAGGTTATTGGACCCCAGAGACCAGTCTTTACAATAAACACAACAACAAGCTCTGCAAGAGACTCTTGGCAATGTCTACCAGTGTTCTTCTCATTAGCTGGATTTATGCAGCATTGAGTAGGAAAAGACCAACTAAACTCCACTGTAAAGACACTATTTGTATATTGACAATAAGTGCAGTGTTTGTGACTAGTAAAACCTTGCTGTTTGTCTCCAGCAGTGAGGTGTTCTTACTGTATCAGTCAGCTTGGTCAGCAACGGGATAACCCCGAGATCAGTGATGACTGCCAGATTGTCCTCGTCTCTGGCTATTTTGGTGATGGCAGCACAAATGCTTGCCAGCACCTCGTTGTTTGTTGACTTCAGCAAATAAAGAATCAGAGTCAATCCACCGACAAGGGAGCGCACCATTTCCCCTGCATCCTATAGTGAAAAAAGCCATAATTAGCTGGTGCTCTGTGTAAATGAACACAGAGCATGATGAGGAAGGAATGACGGAGGAAAGAGGAGAGGCAGGCAGTGGTGTTTGAGCATTGCAGTCTATACAAAGGGCAATCAATAGATATTTTCAGCAGCTCTGACAATAATCAAACTCCTGTTAGTGCATGCAATGCAATGCAATGCAATGCAACATCGTGTCCTGCAGTCGTACTGCCTTTTGCATTTGGCTGAGCAAGCAACAAGTGTGACATCTTTGTGAACCTCTCGTACTTGCACCCGAACTTGTCATAACGAAGATGCAGCATAGAATTTAGAGCTTAAAAGTGACATTTAAAGCTTGTTCCCCAGAGTGACAAAGTATAGACACATGGCTTCATGGTTTGACTTCATGGCACCAGCAGGCACTGCAGGAGTCTTCAGCCACTTGTGGGGCAATGCCTACTGAACCAAAAAGCTGGTAGGGAGTGCTGAGCAAACCACAGCGGAAGAGCTGGCAGAGATACTAGCTTCAGTATGGCTTGGCATAACAGGCTGCTGTTTAAAATCACAACTCACCATATCGCCAGCCTCGGAAGAATACATCAAGGTGGCCGGGCCTGTAATGTTCAGTACTTTGAAAATAGAACAGAAATTTCCCCGAAAGCATACAATTATGGACCACTGGTTGAAAATGACAAAGCACGCTTAATTTGAGTCCATTTCAGCATCAATCTACATGTCCAGAGCTTATGTGTAGCACAGTTTGTAGACTACAGCAATCACAGAATTTATTGTGTGCACTCTGTTATTTTTCTTTATTCTGTAAGTTAAGGGATTTCGTTAAGCGCCGACGAGAAGCAGGAGCTGATTTACAGTTTTAGTGCACAGCTACTTTTGGAGAGCATGATGTACTGTTGCGTTCTCTTCTCTAACAGAGAGCTCACAGCTGAGATGAGGCCAGGGTGCGGTGTATGGGCCCTGTGATGCTGTGCCAGAAGATGAGCCATGTGTGCAGTGCAGGCCAATGAGTGGAGTGCCGGGGCCAGGAGCTGACCCCCCGACACACAGGAAGCTCTTCCTTAGGAATACTGATGACGACTGGCCGGGAGTCCCTGCGACAGAGGAAGCTCTCTCAAGCCACCAGCTGCGATAGACTAGCCAGAATCTCTTTCATGGCCTGGACGGGCCCCCAGATCTGAAAACCGCAGCATTATGAGGCTGCACACGGAAAGGCCTTTCTTGCTATCCTCTCTCTCCCCTCCTCTTACCCAGGATGAAATGAAATAGAAAACACATTATCTGCTGTGCGTGATCTAAAGCTGAGGGGAGCAAGCCAAGCTCAGAATGGCATGCCTTGACCCCTTCTCTGGAGTAATCAGGCTTCTGTAACATACATGGCTTCTAGGTAAAGGAAAAGTAAATCAAGCATCGAAATGTGCCTCTGCATCCAGGCAAATTAATGATACACCCCATTACATGTGACTGGGAGGGTTCTACTTCCTTGATTGGAGAACAAAGATAATTGAATGATTCACTCCTAAGTCTTTAAAGTACTTTTATGGTACTAAATCAATTAAACTTAAGGACCTGTGGACATAGAGCATAGTGTCTGTCTATGTCTGTGTCTGTGTAGGGGCAACAGTACTGTATGGAGCATCCAGCAGATGCATTTATACCATGGCTCTTTCATAAATCCACTATGGAACTGCTAACGCAAACCACATGGGGTTTTTATCTAAATAACGACTGCACCAAAGCAGCTGTATCAGGTTCCTCAAGTCGATGGGCAAAGAGCACTATTTAGCGCTTGTCATTGCCCCCGTCCCAGAAAAATCACCCAAAAAGCATGTTCATGAATTTCCCTCAAAATTGGCACACTGACGTCCAGACAAACATTGTCAAACTTTGTTAGCACTCAATAGTGGGTCCGCAGTTTCTCCCTCCATATGGTTGCCATGCATCATTTTAGCTACACTTCTGGGCCAGAGAAATTCCAGCCGGCATGAAAAAAAAAAAAAAAAAGTCTTCACCCCCAAGACACCTGTCTGGGCCCAATATATGTGTTTAAACTTCACCAGATTGTTCTACTGACACTCTGTTTACCCTAATCATAGCGATAATCTAATAGAACAACATTACGTTTGTAGCAGGAAATGATACAAGTGCTCAGGGGATCAAAGACTTGCTTGTGTGTAACTGAAATTAGAGTTGATTGACAACACTGCTGTGTAAAAATAGGGTAAAGGTCTGAAACAATAACAGAGAGGAGTGCTCCAAAGATTCAACATTGCACTCCTACATGAAAATCATGGCGTTCTCATTAAAGAAAACATACAATTGATTCTGTGCTTAGTCATATCTAAAATTGCACAAGCAGTATTCATGACCACATTGCGGATACATTTGTGCAGTGTTTTCATTAGAGACATGGGTTCATGGAAGCTGTCTGGTGCCCTCTGCTCTATGCGTGGATCGTGTGCCTCTGTAACTAGTAGCATGTTGAGGGGAGATTTTTAGCTGGGAAATCAGAAGCCATGCCACAGGATATTACTCAGTCTTTCTCCCTGCCTGCTTCCCAATTCACCAATCCCAGTGTGCCAAGCAGGCTTCTCTGCTTCATATTAGCCCAAGGTTCATGTAAGCCTCCTCTGACACAGCTCTGCCCCTGCTCACCTCCCAGCAGCAGCAGGTTGGAGGCAGAGCTTAGGAGACAAGCATAGTGATATAAGCAGGCTTCTGTTTAGGGAAACGACACGAACTCTGCAGAACTCTTTGATTTACAGACTATCTGTGTGCCTTTGGTGTGTCTCGCTTGCACAGCTATGAGACAGACAGAAGAATAATGTGTTTTATGTCATAGAGGAAAGAAAAAAAACCTCTGCATTTTACTGTACCTTTGCATTCTCAATACATGGACAAAGGGCCCAAGCAGCACTAGATTGAACATCTGGACTGGGGTTTTTCAGCAGTGACCACACCAGGCGGACTCCATCAAGCTGTTGGATGATTCTGAAAGGAGAGAGAGAGAGAGACAGAGAAGTGCTTTAAGAAGGGAGGGAATGAGAGAAAGGAATGAACAAGCAAATAAACAAAACCTTAAAGAAAAGTGTTAAACTGTGATTTCATTTAGATCTTTCATTAAGCATGATTAAGCATCAAGTGTGTAATTTTTTTGATCAACTTTGTTTCTTAAGGCTCTGACTATCAGCCAGCAGGCAACTGCGGCCGAAGAGGATTCCAAGTGTCAATCGATTTCAGCAGCGGCTTTTCATCACAATTTGCCTTCAGTCCTGCTCAGTTCCTTTCCAGGGCCTGAACTCTCTGTCTGCTCACTCAAATCATTCTCCATGGCAAAGCTCAGCGATGCTAGGGCCAGAGGTTAACTCACATACATCTGTGTATAGTACCTCATACATGGATATATAAATAGAAACTGAGACAAACTTACACTTTATGTTGGTGGCTTGTTTTTAAACCAAAGCCAAAAAGAGGACCTCTTTCCAAATCAAACAGAGCCAGAGACAGGTCGCTCTATATTTCATAGAGTCTGAGTGAAGTTTACTTAAGCATGAGCTGTATTTCATGTCGTACACATGACTGTTTTCAAAACTGCAGTCAAGGTCTGAGAACTCAAAGAATTAAGCCACAGTGCACCCGTTGTCTGGTATAAATAACATGTAACGTGTTCCCCATGTGTGCTTCCACCAACAAGGCCGACATTGAATGCTGTCATAATTACTTAAACACTCCCTAATCACAGTATCTCCGTGACTGGCAACGAGCGAACACTCATCAGGGACGTCCCCTGCGCCATCTGTCTTCCGTTTGCACATAAATCAGTCTAGAGGGATCATAACATCAGATTCCAGTCTGCAGGGCCTCTTAAATCCGGACCAAAAACAAAAGTGAAGCGTCATATCATCCGCCAAAACAGCTCCGTCTTCCCATGAAGCAGGTATGAAACAGATTAGCAATGAAGTTGCAGCTGACAGTGATGGATTAGAGGAGGAGACCACAAACCTTGGAGGCATTAAACAACGTGTGTTCACTCTTGTAGTTACACAGGATTCATTGGAGGAAGTGCTACGTCATTAACCACACACTGCCTACTGGTTGAGAATGAAAACAAACATATGAGCATTTCATGGAAAACTTGAAAGTGATCAGTGTTTGTTTTGGCCTTTCACTAGTTATGGATGACCTGAATCCGAATGATGATGAGAGAATGATTGCGCTGATCAACAGAAGGTGCTGTTTGAGAAAAAGTTTCTTTTGCTGAAATGAAGTCATGTTAACTGACAGGAATGTTGTAGCTAACTGTGTGGTATCTGAAATATATCATCATAATATTTGTTAGGCAGCCAAACATCGTCTATCACTGGTAATCTGGAAAACAGCTCCGGCTGTGTTGGGTTGCAACAGGAAACATTCAAATGTGAGTTATGTTAATTGCTCAGCAAACTATTGTACACATTCATGTCTCAAAATAAGCTATTGCCACAAAACATACAAAAATGGCTGCTGAAATAAGAGCTTTCTGTTTACAGCTCAGTGTGAAGGCTGAAAGACTACAAGGTCTGGCCTAAATACGCATACCGTGAGAAAACATGGAGAACGTGATGAACCAATGTAATACATTTCTCCCATTGTGTAAAGTTCACCACAGTTACTGGCTTTATTTTGACATGTTTCATTTTTTATTGAGCCCCTTGGTTTTGGCCTCCAAACAATGTAATAGGCTCATACAACAGCATTCACAACAACTAACAATGAGAACTCAGACATTCAGCTGTATATGTGTCCAGTGCTAATTAAGAAGGGTCTTGTAGTCCGTAACAGCCTCGTAAAAGCAATGAGGCACAGATGGAAGCTCCACAATGTTGTGCAGTATTGAGGGTGAGGTTAAATGAACACAGAATAAAGACCGCTCTGGACTATGGTTCACTGTGTTTTCCCAGCCATGTCGTCTTGGACAGGGCAGGGCTTTAGGTATGTTCGTCTGACCAGCTCAACTCCTAACACTGACCGCAAAGCTATAGTAAAACACTGGGAATTAAACCACAACCATATTTAACACAGCAGGTACAATAAACAAAGCTTTAAAAATCTGTCATTAAGTTGGGGATGAAAGAGGAACCTGCCTGCATAATTACAAATTAAGAGAACAGCAGATTTCTTGAAGCATCAGCCCATGACAGGTTAATAATACTGTGTTTAGATCCTGGAATCGGTGTCATTCCCTTGTAAAAACATATTACATCAATACTTGGCCAAGAATACGTGTTTGGAGCTAATTCAGTAACGACAGTGAATATGCCACTAATAACATTTTAAAAGACACTGCAAATGGGGCTGTTTGGCTTGTGTTAGCTGTATTGTAAGTGTCAAAGGCCACATGAGCTGGTTGGATGAATGGGAAGAGACTTACGTCATGTTATCCTTATCTGTGGCACAGGCACCCACTGCCTTGGTTACATTCACAAGCAGCGCCTGGTAAATACAAAGCACATGCATGAATTAATATACAGACGGTGACACATTAAAAAAAAACAATCATGAAGTGTCAGTAGCATCAATGCACTTTGGAATTCATTCTTCAAATCTCCAGAACTCTACTGAAGGATCAGAGCATCACTCTTCCAAAAGATATTCCTTCATTTGGCATCTTTATCCGTCACTATGGCGACGGAGAAAGCTGTCTAACGCATTGGTCCAAAACCTCCCACAGCTGCCAATCTACTGTGCACTGATGCATTTACAGTACAGATTCCTCCCAGCGGACTCAAAATGGACCAGAGAGCAATATAACAAAAACAACCAGGTGTCCATAGTGTCTGCAACTGTCTGTGTTTGCATTGGCAAGGAAGTACAATCAAGGCTCACATTGGTCCAAAACCTTCTTCAGTGTTAAACTGGTGTGAGATCTGGTGACTGTGAAGGCCACAGCATATGATTTACAACATTTTCGTATTGACCCGTGCCATTTGGATGGGACACTGTCATCCTGGAGGAAACCGCACCCATTAGGATATAAATGTTTAATTTGGATGAAGGCAATCTCAAAGAGCAACTTTGCACTATGTTGCAGTGAGCCTTACCTCCCATGGCAGGGTCTGCAAGATGTAAATTTGGGCATCTACCCAAGTGCTCACTGATCCATGCGGAACCTCTCTGGGCACATCCACCTGCTGCCCAAAATGTGTGGCCTTATGGCAACTACGCTACAAGTGCATCCACAGAACACACAGACGCCACATGCTGCACATGTATGATAATGTGCCCCCCGTATATTAGAAAGTTGTGTAAATAAAGCCACTACAGGTCTGTGTTGTCTGCAGCTGTACATGTGTGCAGCCACAAGGAAGTATAATCAAAGATTAAGGAAATACGTGGACCCAAGCCATGCCAGCAAAATGCCCCCGACAGCGTAACAGAGCCACCAGACACCCTCACTGTAGGTGTCAAGGGTTCAGGTTCAACCATTAATTTGTCACCCATCTGTAGGAACATGATCGCAAGATGACCCTTAATCAGTAACAAAAAGTTTTACATACCTGGTCTGTTCCAGTCAGCAGGTTAACTAGCGGCTTGATGCCTCCACACTTGCCAATGGTTACCATTAATTTGTCACCCATCTGTAGGAACATGATCGCAAGATGACCCTTAATCAGTAACAAAAAGTTTTACATACCTGGTCTGTTCCAGTCAGCAGGTTAACTAGCGGCTTGATGCCTCCACACTTGCCAATGGTGGCCTTGTTAGCAGGTATCTGTGCAAATTCTCCCAGAGCTCCCACCACATTGACCAGGACTTCGTCAGGCTGATAAGTTAACAGACCAACCAAGGTCTGCAGAACGTTGTACTTCTGAAACCTTTGGGGAGAGAAAAGGAAGACTGCTTTACATTTCAGTAACTAGTTGCTTCACATTGTGTTGCTGATTTTATGACATCAGATAACCAGTGAACACATACTGAATACAATGAAACAAGACTAAAAGTATGTCTAGATCCATGCGCGTGGCTCTGAGGGGTTGTGCTTCAAATGGTGCTTTCAGCTAAATGCCAACATCAGCATGCTAAAATACTCACAATGACAACACTAATATACTAATGTTAAATGGTCTGCACTTATATGGCGCTTTTTTACCTTGGTGGTACTCAAAGCGCTTTACAGTGTTTTTTCATACACCCATTCACACACACACACACATTCATACACCAACGGCAACAGAGCTACCATGCAAGGTGCTGCCTGCCATTGGGAGCAACTTCAGGTTCAGTGTCTTGCCCAAAGATGCTTGGACTGTGGAGGGGCGGGGGATCGAACCGCCAACCTTGTGATCAGAGGACAACCGCTCTACCACCTGAACCACAACCACCCAAACAGGTACTGTAAAATGTTTGCCAACTGTTTTGCATGTTATGGGACCTTTGCTATTTAACAATAAACACTAAATTGAGACATGTCTGCAACACAGAGATAAGATTGAATCTCGATATTTTCTCTGGCTGCCTCCCAAAAGAAATGCATGGTAGATTGATTGGTCACTCTCATATTGGCGTGAGAGGGAGTGTACATGTTTGTCTGTCTCTCTGTGTTGGCCTTGTGATGGACTGACCACCGTATCCAGGCTGTACCATATCCCTCGCCCTATGTCAGCTGGAATAGGCTCCAGCCCCCTGTAACCCTCCACAGGATAAAGCCAGGATAGCAAGTGGTCATCATTTACATTTTTGGGTGGGTAATTAATCATTTAGGTTAATAAACTAATTGGTAAGATAGATCATAGATAAATCAATGGAAACAGTGTCTTTAGTAGCAGCCCTACAGGAATCTGTGGAGCACTGAGTTCTTGTGATGTGGACACTTGTTGATGTATACCCCATGTCTTCAACATGCTCTGAACACATGAAGTAAGGACGGATGAACAGAAGAATTCCATCCACTCAAGTGGAACAAGTGGCGCTGGCATCTGGCTGTCAAACCTCAAGCCAAAGAGTCTCCCACCAGCTCAAAAAGGGTGCACTTAAGCACAGTATTGGTTTCAGCTAAATGCTAACCCATCTTAGTTTAATGTGTGTCTATGCTAACATTTGCTAAGTAGTACTAAACACAAAGTACACCTAATGGATAAGAAAGAGAATGGCATGAGTTGTGTAGGTGTCTGGTCATAAACAGATATACTGAACAAACTGAAAATTTGATGTGATGATGGTGCTGGATAAACACTTAAAGCTAGGGTAAGCAGTTTTCTTTATGGCATCATAAGGGGAAAAAATCCATAATAACCTTTCAGCTAATTGTTTTTCAGATGGTGTAAAAGGAAACTACATCTCCTCCTGGCTATGTTACGAGACTTTAGAAAATCTTTTTAGAGAGAAGTTGCTGTTCCTGCTGTCTGTTCTATAAATGCAGCTGTGCATGCACATTCTTTTAGATGGTGGTCTGGTGGATGATGGTCACTGCTGCAGCTGTGGCTAATTCAATCTCATATTTATGTTCATGTTTACGACAAACTCATATAAAGCACGTGTCTATCTTTGGGTTCATCTGGTGTGAGGCGATGGGAGAGCTGCAGCGTGAGTGCCGTATTTTTAAATTATGTGTTTTGTTTCTTTTTTTTTTGTTTGTTTGTTTCTTTGTTTAGTTTTGGTTTTTTGGGGGCTTTTCCAGGCGTCTGCCTACCACAGATTGCAGTGTGATTCCAGTCCTTACATCATATTTCATGGCACTAGTTGAGACATTCACACAAAGCCACTTCATGGTGCTGATGAATGAAATGTCAGGAGATCCCTACAATTAGGCAACAATTCCCAAGTTAGTCTAGGAACTGAGTGTCAGTGCCAACTTTAGTGCTTAATGTAGTAAAAACTGTCACCTATGAAAACTCAGGGAATCATCAGAGTTATTGTGATTCATCTTCAGGGGGTGCATGAATGTCTGTAAAAACATTTATGACAATCCATCTAATAGTGGTTGAGATATTTTCTTAACGAAAGTAGTAGTGTGAGGTGGCCCATGACAGAAAGACTAACATTGCCATGCCTAATCCCACTTCTGTTAGTGTACCTAATAAAAATGGTATTATTGTTGAAGTGACAGGTTACATCACTTACGGCCACATAGGCACAGATCTCTTACTGTAACCCAGCAGTATAGGCAGTTTTCCCACGGCTCTTCACAGTTGTCCCTCGTACGTACTTTGCATAACCAAAGCTTTGCTGCGGTTTGGAAACTCTTCCTCCCTCTTTTGCTGTGATTTTGCCTTGTTTGCCAGTGCTATAGAGTGGTAAACTATAGTAAACATTTAAAAGGGATATAATGTGGTTGCAAAAAACCTCAACAAACCTCTGATGTACAGTTAAGTTCTACGACTGTTTTTATTCACAGTTACGGTTGCTGGCATCATGGCCCGTAAGCTATTGTAGATGGCCAAGGTCATTTGGTTTTGGTCAGGGTCCACCGACAGACAGCCTATTCTTGCAAGTGAAAACACTGCTAATGAACAGAGGAGCTGCCAAAGTTAACTTCAGTGAAATTCACCATAACGAAAAACAATGGTTTTTCTATGCCATCACTGAAGTGTCATCTACAGTTGACTACAGTAGAATTATCTTGTAATCACAGACATAACTTTGATAAATGAACAGTAAGTCATGTCTATTTTTGTTAAGCCAATCCCAGCTGAAGTAATTACGTGATGGCAAGAGTAACATTACACAAAGCTGCCTGAAGCGGCTTCTACTGCAAACACTGGACTCCACACAACTGAAAGCCTATTAAAGCCCATGTGAAGACACAGGAACCACAGTGGAGCTTCTGTGCGGCAGATTTTTATGATTGATTGCGGGCCTTTTCCTTTTCTCATTCATCTGCACTAGTTACATATTGAGCTAAGTGTAGAAAGATTAAATGCAGCCTTTTATACTAACTAGAGCTTTTAGCAAGGCCCAAGTTAAAGTAAGACATTTCAGGAATCCTAAGATACTTGGCAATGACCACAGAAAAGAAGAGAGAAAGACAGTCACTTGTTAAGACTGAAATTTAACAGACAGATCAATGCATTCTATTTGAAAGGAAATAGCCCAGCACTGAATAACTTGGGTGAGCAGGGAACTATTGTGAGTTACTCAGAAGTATCATTTAGAGGGGCAATTATGGTCTGCTCATCATAGGGCTGGAACAGAGGTAAGATGGAGGGGTAGTCAGTAATTGGACGCGAACCCCACAATCTTGACCCCAAGCATTACTGCGCTGGCAAATACAGTCCGAGACTTGGCAGTCGTGACTTTCCATTGCAAAGTTATTCCCTCACTCTTTTGTTAAGGCTTTTTACAGCATTTTTGTGTGTCCGTAACACCTCAGTATACAGGCTCAACGAGCCATGTGTGGATGAATTCATAAATCTGCACAAAATAATGTTTCAGTGTTTCAAAGTAGGCTTTCTAGTAAGGTTTTTCCTCACACATATAACTTTTGTCCAGGTATAGTAATAAGTTCTACGAAAAACACAAGCTTATGACAATGTGGTTGTTAAACAAACACACTTGTTATAAATGTAATTATACTTCGGGGCATCAATCATCTTTCATTCTGATGCATCATTAATCAGGGAAATGGCTAACATATGCTGCTACTTGACTTGAGTGGAGGTCCTCCCGACCTCTATACTGTCCAGACCGCGCAAATCATCAGTCACATAAAAGAGAAAACCGTGCTGCTTGCAGTGGGCCACACGGCCTGCTTCATTTGACCATGAACTCAATGAAAGAAAAGAGCAAAAAAATACGCACTCTGCCTCCCATTATTGCCGTAGCAAAATATATTCCAAAATGATTTTCATCTCAGTACAACACTCAGCCTATGATTGATTCTGAAATGAGCGCATGCCCCTAAAACCCTGTTACCATTAGCAGCCTTTACTTTTTGACAGTAATGGCTCAGTCACTTCATTCCAAGCTTTTGCCTGACCTAGACATTTTAAGTGATTCAAATAAGCCTGAGAGAGTATGAAAAAACAGATCTACTTACACATTCAAGTGGGCATTAAAAACATTTGCTGTGCATCATGCTGGCTTCCTCCTGAAGAGGTGGCCAATTTCACCTTCATTCACACCCAACTGTGCACATCATCCAAAAAACAAAACACAGCGCAGCACACACAGGAAAGAAACCATGAAATAAGAACTCTACTCATATTATGGCCCATTGTGACATGTTAAATTTAGAGTGAGGGCAACCAAAGTGTTTTTCAGTGTTTGTAAAAGAAGTGTCACTAAATGTGGTTTACATGTGATTAATGGCATCATTACAATTATTTCTATTATTGTTATTATCAGTAGTAGTAGAACTTTTTTTTTTTTTAACATAGCAACAGTATGACAAGCCATTAAGTATGGCAGAGAGCCTGTACCGGCAGCAAGTCTATTAGGCTGCCACATTACTCATGGCCAGTGCAGTTAAGTTGTTCTATCATTTCGCCAAGCTGAAGTCAGAAGGGATTCAAACCTGTGTCAATTTTGTTGTTTTTTTTCAGATGTTTTTTGCCAGAAAATGATTAAAACCTCCATGAAAACGCTTGATTTTGTGCAGTGAAAAAAGAACTGGTGTCTATAGAATGAGAACCATGCTCCAATCGTTAAATAAAAAATCCGCCCAAATGATTTTCTTTCATGACTTGCATTAAAGAGATACCGAGCCGTCCATCTTGCTTTAAAAGAATGTTATTGTCATCCTTCTGCTTTTGTAAAGGACTTCTCACTTAACTCGATGTGGCAGCAGACACTCAGTTCCAGTTGGGAGGACTTAACATAGACTTTAAATGTAGGATATCAATCTGTCAGTTATGATATATGAAGTGAAGAAAGATCCTTGTGAGTGCTACTGAGCCTTTTTTCTTGTTATTTTTAGAATTCCTCTGCAATTTGAACTACACATCATTTCTGACTAAGAAGAAAAGCATTTTCACATAATCTCACCTCCACAAACAGCCTTAAACCGCATATTCTTTATCAAAACAATTATTAAAAGACTAGGTCTTATCAGTTTCTTGGCCACACTGAAAAGAATAGGTTTTTAAACTGATTAATTTGTTACTGAGGTATTAAATCACTGCATGAGGGTTATATATTACATTCCCAGCCTCATACTGAAGAAGAAAATAAATACAGCTAAATCATTCTTTCGAGGGAGCACTAGTGGAAATGTTTGGGGCTGCCAGGGCACGGTCTCCGGGCATTATTTACTTTATAGGGAAAATTACTGACTTAAAATCATCTGACACTACAAGTACAAGTCAAAAGCCATTCCAGAAATGTCACTACCAAAGGAACCAGGCTAAATGACACTTAAATAAATCCTTGCCATACATGACAAATGATTAAAGGCGTCGTCAGCCTGGGTCTTCTGACATTAGAGAATCGCAAGGCTGATACTTTCAGTATGCCCATGTTTGGTTCAATACTAACAAGCCTTGACTAACACATCACTGAAGTCTATAAAATCGGCACATTTATTTGATCCTTTGTTAACAGTGGAAAAGACTGAAATCTAAAGGCAAACAGTCACATAAAAGATCAGAGCCCATAGAATCCGTACAAAAACTTTACATTTTATACAAATAATCACTTCAACCAGACACAATGGTAAAGAAAATGGAGATATGACAACAGCATGCGAGTGGAAAAAGTGACACAACTAGTCATGAATGAGTGAGAGCCCCCTATAAAAGTAACATATGTGATGAGGCCATGACGACGCTAATGCACGCAAGTCTGCTGAGTTCTGTATCCATTGCTGCTATTAATGTATTCACATACTGCTGTGAACCACATCAGCTTTGCATAGCATGTGCTCCAAAAGTTATGGGCACATGTGGATGAAACGCCTAATTGCCATTAACCCCCTTTTGCATTGAGGCTCAGAAGAAGAAGATTGTTGTTCCTGAGAGCAGTGAGCGATTTATCAAAGTCACACTAATCCGCTGGCGCAAATTACAAACATACAGCCTTACAGTCCAAAAGACATGGCTACTATGTGTTCTATATCTCTTGTATGTTGTGTTATATCATGTGAGTCCATGTGTGTTAATGAGTGTAATAAGGTGGGACTCTGTGCATACTCAGCCACATTCTCCGTGCTGATGGAACACTTCCAAATAGCTCCGGTGGCAGCAGCCAGAAGCTGCTTGTTGTCCGCTTTGCCCAGCAAGGAAACCAGTTGCTGCAGACCTTTGTATTTGCGCACCAGATCACGAGTTTGTTCTTCCTCTGCACACTGCAAAGCAAAAAGAGACAGTCCAGACCTATGTTCATTCCGTTATAGTCTGTGTCTAATTACGAGACAATGAAAAGAGGACTCAGTTTAGTCCATATCCATTTTTATGTGCTTTTGTTTCGTGTTTCAAGTATGCATGGATCCAAGGCACAGGCAAGGACATTAGGTACCTTGAAGATTGCACTGGCACAATGCATTTGTAGCTCTTCATTGTCACTTCTCAGGTTTTTTACCAAGTCCTTAATCATGCCTTTGGTCTGAATGGCAATCCTGCAGCTTTCCTGTAGTGAGATAAGCATCAACAGATCACATCACCATGAATGAATCGTTAATTAAATCACATATGTTGTGCTATTTTATTTCTAATATTCTTCACATTTGGTTTATATGGTAAATATAAATGTATCTTCAATTTTACGCATGCTTTAAATCTAGACTTGCTGCAAATATTTCTCCACTTTCATTCTATTCAGAATGTGTCTGCTGAAAAGGAAACGCTTGTCTCATCTCTCTTTAAAATCTGAGTTTGAAAGCCAAGCTTGGTCCAAAATGCAACCTAACTGAGTGTAATGTGAAAACTTTAAACAGTTATCAGTTAAAATGATCTATTTGCATATTCATAGTAGTAGAGTTAATGCAATTTTAAGAAATCTTAACAAGTTAATTTAACTTTTTGCCAATGATAACTATCAGACAGAAGTTACTAAGTATTTTTATATGTCTCAAAATATGTTCAGAGGGGATCTTTTAAAATGTCATGGAAAAAGAATATTCAACAATAAATCATCATCTGGAAAGATTTGAGGAACAGGACGAAGAGTTCAAGTTGTTGGCTTGGGCTCAAAATTACCCTTATGACTTACAGGACTTTAAGGATCTGCAGCTAATGTCTTAGTGTCTGAAACCCCAGGACCCCTCCAGGTCTGTGGAGTCCATGTCTGGAGGGGTCAGAGCTACTTTGGCAGCACACTGGAGAGCCACACATTATAAGGCAAGTGGTTTTAATGTTGTGGCTGATGCATGTACATTTTTATTTTAAAGGCTAAACAATTATTTAAAACTACAGCAGTTGTTGAAGACTATATTATAACGTGCATTCATATATATTTGATACTCTAGTGAGTATTCATAGCAGCAGGACAGCATATGTGGGACTGACACGTAATAAACTACAGTGAACGGTGTTATGGTGCTGTATTTATTTATGGTAATGAGGAACATGTTACCTAGCACAACAGTGTGGCTCATTAAACACTTTTTAATACTTCTGGGGTAGCAATGAAGTTCTGCTGTATATCAGGCTTTGGATACACACAGGCTACTTGTTAGTAGGATCTGTTCGTTTTGGTTTTGATCTTTGACTGGATTAACTTTACAACAAAAAAGGAAACACAATAACCCCAACCTTTAAAAAAAAAAAACATATTTTTTTCATGTTATTTTGATAGCTGTATTTTATAACTGTCTTGCAGAATCAAACCTGCAGGTTATTTTGAACAGACCGTGGCTTGACAACTTGCCATAAAATTTATGTGGCTGCCCTCACCTCTGAGGCGCATTCCTGCAGGGTGCCCACCACAGGGATAAGCATGTTCGCATGTGGAGACTTGAGCAGGCGTCCCAGCAGAGGGATACCCCCAGCCTTACGAATGGCCTCCTTGTTCTTGCGACTCTTGCTGCAGCTCCACAGCGCTAAAACTCCACAGCGGGCCACCTCTACATCCTTTTCCTGGTTTTCAGTCAGTTTGGCTAAATTAGGGACGCAGTCCAGTAGCTTCACCTGATCAGAGAGACAAGGCATTGGGATAAACACTCATATAAAAATCTGTGCAGACAAGCAGGCAGACCACATGTATTTAGGCAGAAAACCTCCATACACAAATTTACACAAACTCCCTGAACCTGACATAAATTCAAGGGCTCTTGAAAGTTTGCTTGCATGATTGTGGTGATAATGGATGGTTCCAGATGGGAATTGCAAGTTGTTGGCTGTGATTAAGGGTGTAATTAAATTTCTATTACCACTGGGGCTGTGAGGATGAAAACGCCAGAGATGTTATAAGTGGAAAACTGTCAGGATAGATGTTGATGTTAGACCTGAAAAGCCCAGTGTGACGGTTTATGGCCATCATTTGGTGTTCTAATCCATAGTTCCTGGCCAGTGAGACAGAGCAGGCAAAGCTATTACACACTGCGCAGTTCAAAGGTGGTCTCGTAGCATAGCGTGAAATTAATCTGCCTCCGTGAGTGACTTGCACATGAGAACATCCGATTTGGGGCTGAGGAAAATATACAAGGCATGGAGGCTTTAATCACAGGTCCCTCTGTCAACAAACATGAATGCAGGTCAGAGGATGTAGGAGACATTCTATCTGTTTTACTCAGCACCCGCTCTGCAGTTTTCAAAAATGGATGGACCACTATCTGACATCTGCTGCACAGTGTGTGATTGTAATTGATTTGTTGTGATTCAAAACAGTCAAAACAGCAAAACTTGCAAATATTTTACACTTTGAACAAAAGGAAAGACTGATGTTAATATATGGATCACACTGGAGTGAAACACCACCCTGTTTTTCCAAGTTTCCAGGGTGTCTGTGGTTACGTACCAAAAAGTTTGTACTAAATCGCAAACTAGCTGACACAGACATAAACAGCCAGTTTTAATGGAAAATCTGCCACTCTGGGACATAACATATATTTCATTAATGCCAGTAGAGAAAGCTCAGGTTCTGGTCTGCAGTTTTCTCTCCTGCTGCACTTCACACTGGTATTAAAGAGCTTGAGCCTAAACCCGAATTTACATATTTCTGTGCTTACACTTACCAGTTTCTTAATACCATTTAACTTCCTGACGGTTCTTCTTGCTCTGCGGAACCGGGCCACGTTAGCAATGGTCTCAGCAGCTAAGGCCTTGAGGTCCTTATCTGGCAAGTCCAGAATTGTCACAATCTTCTGCAGGCCACTCGTGTAAACAATAGTCCGACTGATTTGCACGTTGTGGCTAATCTTCCGAAGGATTTTCAGAGATCCAATCTAATCGTTAAAAACACACAAAGCAAACATTAACAGTAAGTTCAAAAAAATTATAGGTTTGTTTTATGAAAAAGAAACTGTTGGGTCCACGCCAACATAAGGCCTCCATCTGCACTTAGATACATACAAGGATGCCTACTAGCCAAACATTCAGCCACATTTCCACTAGAAGTAGACAGGACAAAAAGCCATAATAAAACCAGGTTAAAAAGCACCCACACATGTCATTAGGCGTACTGGAGAATAATTGCTACCCTGTGTCTTTAAAGGCATGCTCTCTATCCAGCACTCATGTTTCTGTAACTAAAACACAGGCTGGCACACACAGCCAGCTCTGTTCATGCCTGCAGGCCATCCAGGTCCAGCTTTGGCACAGCTACTCACTTTGCATCGGACTTCTATTGTATCCAGCAAGTTAAGGAGGATTTCAAGGCCACCTAGGTCCCGGATGATCAGTTGGCATGTCTCCTGCATCAAATTAAGGTCCATCATGGCGCAAAGAGTGAGCGCTGTGGTTGTCTGGTTGCCTGCCTGAAATAATAATGCCAAACATGATGGAATGAAAATGAAAGAAAAAGGAAAGAAAGGAGAAAAGTGAACATTGAGCAGACATTTGGAAAAGGGAGGAGGATACAAACTTCCCTCCATTCCCAACAGCACACCTCCCTCTCCCTGCGTTGTTTCCCTCTATAATACCACTCCTGCTGGGGTTGTTTTGTTTATACCACAGCCTTGTATGTGTTTAGTTTTGTGGTAGTAAACACTGATGGAAAGAAATTATTTGCTAACAGAGCACTGTGCTCTGACTACAGCACAGAGGCCAGAAACCATTAGACATTGCCCTTAACACACACACACACACACACACACACACACAAAAACACTATTAGCACTAAAACCTTGAAACTAATGATGAGTTAGCATTTCTCAAGCAGAATATGTTTTGACAGTTGCTATATACACACATATCATTTCAGGCCTGCACCCCAGTGATTTGCAACTTAGTAACTACAACACTATTCGGTCAACAAGTGGTTTGAGGGAGAAAAACCTGTTCTTTGATTTAAACTCTTGCCCTTCTATACATGTGGGGCAGGAAATCGAACTGATTAGGTTTTATTGCCACTTAACTATGATGTGTTCGCTAAAAAAGAGAAACATTACGGGGATTTAAAATAAGGCCCGTGTGGTCAAATGCTGTCACGCGCTGCAGTTACAGAACCTGACTCTACTTTATTGTTTTCTCCTAAATTCCATATCCAAATACTTGTTTTTGTCCCTTTTCCTGACTATGTTCATAAATCCACATAATGCCCTAGCTGTGGATGGATGTTGACAGCATTACGGCACTGAAAATACCAGCCTTACGGTTGGTGCTTTGAGATGGTTAAAGTATTGTTCGGGCAGGCAGTGATGGTGTTTTTTTTTTACACGACCATATTTAGTCTGTATCATATGCAGTTGCATAACAGACTTTGTTGACGTGCAGTGGTTTTGATCAAGAAAGGAGGGAAAATCAGTAGTCAGATAAAACAGAAGTTCATGGTACAAAAATGCAACAGCTAGTTGCTGTAATACTAGACCTGCTACATGGCTTTGATATGTGACACTGAAACATCCAGTCCAAAATCTTCTGGCAAGTGAACAATCAAATATTATTCCATTTTTTTCAGCGGTTACAATATGCCACAGATAGATTTTTCATGTAGTAAACTCAAGGCCGACTCTACCGTTCCATGCCATTATTAGTTGCACACTTCACAAACAATTTGGAACTCCAGGCCCATCCTAAATAGATTATTTCAGCCAAATACGAGAATGTATCATATCCTGCTAACAGCTACCCATATATGTAGAAAATAGCCCATCACCGTATAGACGGCTGCACCAATAATCAGTTTCATGCAGCTGTTGGAGGGGCCGGTTCATCAGCGTAGGCCTATACCACAGTCTCAAGTGGTGTTTGATCATATCTCCCTCACAAAGCAGTGCTCTGACACAGCAGGATAACGGGCACATGTGTTCTCCATATCATGACGCTCGCCTAAATGTAAACCATTTGCCCATTAACAGCAGTGGATCTACTGCTTCCTTTGTCTCCTCCATTCTCACTCTTCAAAGGATTCGCAGGCAAGCTTCGTACCTTGTAAAAACAACAAAAAAAAGCTATGTTTAGGAGTGATAGCTGGGAGAACAGAAAACAGATCATATGCTTTCATTTTTGTTAGCTTTGGTCTTGAAGTATTGTCGACATTCTTTAAAACATTGACAACATCTGACAATCTTTTATGGTGAAAGATCTTTGACTCTCTCTGAGCATGATAGGGGCAGATGCTCAACATGGAACAAATTCAACCACGATTCGACCTCAGAACAAGAAATTCAAAGTAGTTCAAGTCGTATTGGTATGTTGGGAGTGGGGTTGTATTTTATCTTTGCTCTGCTGATTTACAGTCAACAGTTTGTAATAATAACATTAGCGTTCAGTGTTTTATATCTACCTCTTCCCCCACCTTGATTTAACAGGTTAAAGGCTTTGGTTAAAATACGGACTAAAATAAATTTTGACTTGATGGGGAAAAACTAAAAAAGTCCAAGGATAATCAAAGTTAATTAGAAGTTGTTCTCTCAGGTCTTTCAACATCAGCAGCAAAGTTTAGGGAAAACAACTCCCGAACTGTTGGAGCAACTGCTTTAAACGCTACCTAAAGTTTAAAGCATGATGCAGCTACAGGAGAAGTCGCAGATCGCCAAAGACAATAGAATTTTTTCTGTTGGGCCCATGAATACTGAACTGAATGAATTCACTCCTGACTGGCTAAGCAAGTATGTTTACACATACAAGAAATCTGACTCTGGGTCCAGTGTCTGTCAATGTACTTATACAAAGCACAACAATGTTTAAGAGGAAGTACACAACTACATAACAGGGTTGTACAAAGCTGGACAGCAATCGATTGGATAGATGTCAAGACATTTTACATGAAAACAAATATGTCAACCTAATTTTGGTGCAAAGAAATGTCCTGGTATCACCAAAATTCAGAACAATACACTCTCTGGAAACAATGAATATATGTAAAAATGTTTTTCGCTTGGTGAGACTACAGGAAAACTCTCTCCAAAGTCATAAGAACTGATCATCTAGCAACTCATCTCTATACATCAAAACTGCATCTTTAGAACCTTTAAACATGATAAGTACATGTAACTCCATACTGTTGTTTACACAAAAATAGGTGGATCTACATAGTCCCCGCCTCTTCTCCACTCACCCCTCCTTGCTCACTGCAAATCAAGCTCACCAGCTAACCTATGATTTTACTTAACCACTGTTAAGTGTCTTTCCACATATAGAAACACCTTAAGGACATGTTTACAAGGTTAAAAAAAAAAGCTAAATTTTTATTATAGGGGGTCATCCTTACGTTTGTTCTTTAGCAAAACTCAGGAACAAAGTCAACCAGATTCATGCTCTATTTATGCAAAAAAAAAAAAAAAAAAGTCATGGTAATCCTAAAAAGCCAGAATCTGTAGAACCAGTTGACCCACCAAAAGACCAACACTGCCATCCATGCAGCCTTGTCACTAATATGGCTATAAAAATGCATATAAATCATAATGCAAATCATTATCACAAGTGATTGTAGATTCGTATGGCTCCACATGTGCAGTCAAATGACAGCGTATAACACAAAAATATCCTTGAACAGCTGTACTTGTACAATTACAGCCTTCTCCACATGAACACGTTCCATTTAGAGAATTTATTGGAGTCCCACTGTGGAATTTGTACCATGTTATTTTTAAAGTTGATGCTCATTATTAAGCAATTTAATGGCAGCTAATCTAGCAATGATTAAAGACAGTAATATAAATGCTTTATCCCCTTGTCTGTGGAAATTGCATAAATTAAGCAGTAGGACGGATCAAATTCCATTCATGAGCTTTATTCATGAACTTGATATCAGCCACATAAAGATGCTTTACACATTTAGTCTCTTCCTTTACTGCAGGTGTCCCAGCCTGAGCTACTAAATAGCTGAAGCCTCCAAACTACTGAATGGAGGTCTTATTCTAGTTGGGTTTCTCTGGAGCAGCAGACAGGATTCTGCAGACACAGAGTGCCCTGCCTGAGCCACTCAAGCTCTATAAATCACTGCACTAAGCATGTGAGAGCAAGAATGGGGTTAACAGGGCTGTCAGTGATACCCTGTTGACCTCAGGCCCCTTTTCTTAATGTCATATTGTGTGTCTGTGTGCGTGTGTGTGAGACCTGGACTCCCTGCCAGCAAGAGTGAACATGCATGTTAAGTGTAGTGCTCACATATAATAAAGTTTGTCTACAATGCTTGAATTGGTGACAGGTGTACTCGAGACACTGACAATACTGAGTATAAAAAAGAAGAGCTGGGGCTTGGAAGAGGTCGAGCCGTTGAATATGCATGAGTTTTAATACTTGTCTGCAGTTGACAGCGTATTCAGAGGGAAGGCAGCGCAAGAACAAAACCCCAGCCTCCAGCTCTTTCCTGAGCAGGGTGGTGTAGGGACATAATGAGTGACTACTGGTTGTTTCTTGCTTCATATTTGACATAGGATCTCCTATAACATAAAACTCGATCACTTAATAGGCCTCGCTGTCATAAAATGAACGCTGTGCATGCTGAGAAAACGTCTAGTCAGGTCTTTGAGTTGAAAAGTTGCTAAACTCATGAGAATGAAATGATGCAATTATTCTTGTAAGAAAATTCTGTGGATTAGACATGTTGTAAATGCATTACAAGCACTAAAACTTTAACATTTGAGCTCAGCGCTGAAGTTACTGCAAAAGCATCAAAATTGTTTAACTACTTACAGTACAGCATAATTAGCCACAAATTCACGCCTGTTGACAAAATGAGAATGTCTGGGCCCTTGTACGCTGGCGACGAGGTTCGTTTTAGTGCAGAAATTAGCAGCATGGCTCTGATTATTGAGGAGCAGGGGGCAGCAGTACTGTGACTGCCCAGCAGAGGGGGAGCAACTTTAATGACGACACAACATAATACTTTGTGTGTCAAGAACCCAGATCAGCTTTTTAATCTATAATACTTTTGTGTGTTTGAAGTGGAAACATCATTTTCAAGTTACGGAGAAAGGTTGTACTAACAGTGACACTTTAAAGGTTTAAGTGAATTATCTTTTTGTTGTTCAAAGAAATGAGAAAAGGTCATTTGCTGAGTAAAAAACAAGGTCAATTCTGAAAATGTTTACAACATATACAGAAATGTTTATCTGTTAACTAGTAACATATTGTATATCAGACAAAATATTTATATCTGTGAGAATATGAAAATTGTGTTTAGAAAGCCACGGGACAACATAATTATTAGCAGCTGGTGGATTTTGTCTTTATTTAAACATGGACAAAATCCTCAAATTATACTTTTTGGCTCGGTTGCTAAGTTTACCACGCAAGCTGTTTAATACTGTTTAGTCCCGACCGGTAAAACAAAGCTTTAGTCTCTTTAGGAAAGTTGCTCCTGAGCTTGTCTTGTTTCCATAATTTACTGAAGCCGTATGCAATAAATTTATAATTATATCTACAGCTTAAAGTCTATAAAAACCAAAAATACATAAGCTCAAAAATGTAAGGGCAATAAAATGTTGCTTATACTCTACTACACCACTGATACATTACAGACTGGAATATGGTGTGTAAATTATGATAAAACTCGTTTTCCATTTTTCCATGTCAGACATCCACAGTACATAGACTCACACAAACACGTGCACATACACACATGCCTGCTGCCACAAACACACTTCAATCTGCATACAGGATTTTTGCAAGAGTCCATGTAACCATTGTATAGGCACAGGTCCCCAGTCATACAGGTATAAAAACAAACACAACGTTGGCAAATATTCCAAAAATAAATATAATTAAAACACAAAACAGAACATCCGTGTGTCGCTTTATGAAAGTGTTAAACTTCCTAGAGTACAAACGGCTGTCTATAACGCGAGGGAAAAGGGGAAAAAAGATCTCCTCCTAAAATAAAACAGATATTTAACTTGGCTCATGGCAAGTTTCAGCGTCTGATGGTAATGATATTATAAAATGACTACTGGACAAACCCCATAAATAACTGTGCTGTGTGGTTTCCAGACAGATAGAAAAGCTGGGACATGTTGGTTACGGCAGTGCTGCATCTTGTTGAAGCAAGAACACACACACAACTCTAAAGCTCACGCCACAATCCCACTGTAAAGTATAAAACACACAAACCAGTGAGGGTTTTTTCTTTATCTGAATTTGCCTCTTTCATATCATTTACATCTTTTTCTTTTTTTTCCTTCTGGAAAGGAGCAACAGCCTGCTTTTAGAGTGGGAATTTCCTTCCATTATGTTCTATTTTGCTAAGCTAAAAATACCTACCTAAAGTTGAACTTTACAGCAATGTTTTCTATAAAAGATTTACTTGGTTGCACTGTGAACGATTTTATTTAGCAATACTCTAATTTTACACAGTTAAATAACATTAACTCGTTCAACCCTTTCCCACTGAAACAGCGTGTAAGGAAAGTTTGCAATGTACAACAATACAACAGTGATTTCTGTTATAATTTAATCTGTGTGAATAAAATTGTCCACATATCTAGATAATGGGGACCACTGAGTGAAGCAGGGTAATCTCTGAAGTCAAGTGGTCTGAGGTATTCCCAGCCAGTCTGGGTCATTGGTGTTTCTGTCCTCTTTTCTTTTCCTTCCATGTTTTGACACATTAATATTCACCATATGCCCTGTCAGACCTATCACAGGCGCGCTTCTTTTTTATGCTTCTGCGGTGTGGGCAAACAGTGCGTACAGCTGCTGCTGTCAGACAGCTCTTTCCCCTGTGCCTTGGCTTGCATGTGCAACCAAACAGCCCTGTGTCAGAAACCAAGAATCCATGAGCCCAGCCAACCACTTCAATACGCATCTTCCTGTAAAGCGGCACTTTAAATGGGAGCAACCGCCACTTTATCTCATCTGACATCCTCTTTGTCACTGACTGTGCCTTAATGTGACTGAAGCAAAACAGACAGGTGGGCTTTTGTGATAGGAGAATTAGCTTTGGGAAACCAGCTATCCTCAGTTGCACTGCACATCCCTGACTAAATATTATTTTCCACATATTTCTGAAGAAGTCGGAGAAATTTGACTGCTGATTCGGGTCAGCATCAAAATTTTTGTGCAGATGACAGGAACAGAGCCTGGACTTTACTGTTTCCTGTTAGTTGTGGCCTGACTTTGATTGCAGTAGTACTATTCTCAGTTCAAAGCCCTATTCTGGGATAAAACCCATCAGAGGGAGGAAACAGTAGTATGCAGCGTGATGCTTTCATACCTTGAGGTACCTGAACAGTTTCTGGATTTGCCAGTATTCAGGAAGCCGGTCGATGTCACCCTCTAGACGGCGCTCTGGCTGCTCCTCTTCCTCCTCACTCTCAGTGGAACTCTCACTGGTAAGTTCCCCTGGCATGGCTCCTGCTGAGGTCTTCCTGAATGAAAAAGAGCAGATAACACACTGCAGATAACACTGTACACACTGTAGGTGTAGGATAGAAAACACATGGCCAGACAAAGGGATGGAATATAACAGCATGCAATCTCTTTTCCTGCCTTTTAAATGGAAGAACAGTCAGCCATCCCACACAAGAAGATCCATTAAGAATTTAGAAATTCAAGTTTCAAGTTTGAACTTTCTTTGAGTCTAAGCTGGAAAACAATGATTGGAATAGTGTCACGGGAGGACTGGAGTCGTCATCATATACAGAGCAAAGACTCCTGCTAGGCTGTTGATGCAAATAGAAATGCAGATGGCCTTTTAAAGTTGAATGGGCTGCTTGGATATCTGCATCATGAAAACAGGGCACTGTGGAGCAATGAAATTTGGTACCCATTCAAATGGGGCCGCTGAGAAACAGTTTCCATGTACATACAAATGGCATTTCCAGGGGAACATTTTATCAAAAGGAGGCAGCTGATATGAGTGTTTTCCTGGATGCAGCATGATAAGCACTAAACGAGGCCTTCACAAAGCTGCCAGGCCTACACTGTCCTGGATGGTGTCAGGTGATGATTGTGACTGAGTGAATGCACCCTGGAGTATTTTTTGCATGTACAGAAAATGATGAGGAGCGAAGAATGCTATCAGTGAACAGTGGTTAGAATCAACTTTGTTGATTTATTACACGAGCAGTCTGTATATATTGGCAGATTCAAGTATGGAGACAGCTGAAGAGCTGCAGCTGCCAAGAGCCAGAGAAGGAAAAAGCTTTTACATAGGTTCTTGTTCAGTACAATGTTAGCAGCTGAAGCTTTTCACCACACATTTCACCGCAGGTAAAACAATATTCAGTTCTTCTTATTAGAGGCAAAATCCTGCGTATGCTATACAACAGACTGTGTTATACTAATAAATTATGAAATGACTAAAAATTCCACCATTTACATTGATTGTATTGTTTGTGTATAATTAAAAACAAAGAAGTTAGACAGACTACACTGAAAATACAGACCTTAAAGTAAAATTTAATGCAACAGAAGTCAGGCCACCTTTTAACATTCTGTTCTCTTTTATTATTTTGTATGGCCGCCTTTATTTCTGACAATAGCTAGGAGCCTAATGGGTACAGACAGCAGCGTTGCACAGATCTCGGGAGATATGCTTCACACATAATTCTTTGATGTTCTATGGACTTGAGGTAAGGAGACATGTTTGGCAAGGTCACAGCTTTCATGTTTTTCTTCTTTTAAAACACTTGCATGAATGTAACAGATGCATTTATAAAACTCCATTTCAAGATCTTTTCATTCAGTGTTTTGATATACAAATTTGCATTCATAGTATTATCTATAAATGTCGTGTCTGTACCTTTTGTACTCATACAGCCCTGTATCAGTATCCATGTTTCACAGTCACCACTATGAGGTCACTGTGGTGGTCATGCCAGGCCTATCCAAACATGCTGGATGCCATCTGATCCAAACATTATATGATAGGTAGAATGCGCTGCTTATACTCATTGGGCTTCTTACTTCATACAATGCTCCTCTAACTGTCTGGCCATCACTGAAACACCAGTTTTGAGAGCACAGAACAAAAGTGCGAAAGTTTGAGAAAGAAATGTTTGCATATCACTTTTGTTCAGTGGTCACATAAAAACTGACTGTTGTTGCAATCGCCACAAGTAAACTCACTTTTATTTTCTTCAGGTTACTCTATTTTAAAGGCAGTCTATCTAACTTGTTTGTTTTTTTAAATTACATATATGCTAATACCCTACATTTCTACCATGTACCAAACATATAGTTTTGTGTATACTGTAAGTTAACCCACTTGCAGTAAAGAACCTTTACAGATTCTGACAAAGGGCAACTAATGGATGACACTTACATTTTCTGAGAGGACTGGCGTACAGCTGAAGAAGAAGCAGAGAATTCTGCTTTTATCTTGCTCCTGGTGCCGAGTGTCAGCTTTTTCTTCTCCTCCCCAGAGCTCTTACTGGGTTCCTCTTCTTCTGCTTTACTATAATGACGTGACACAAGAGTCATTACGCCTGCTTCTATTTTGAAAATGGTTATTTTTCTAACATAATCATTTTTTAACAACTCAAGACAAGGGTTCAGCAGGCATTTTTTTAGCAATTGAAATACTTTTATCCTGAGCCAGTTTCTCTCAAATGGGTACAGTTATCACAACGTACAGCTGCAACAGCTCAGCCCTTGCTAGATCTATTTATCAATCAAAGACCATATGTGATAGATCTTTTGGGGATTTTTTTCTAATACTTTTTCCTAAGTTTTGTGTCTGTAATTGGGCAGAAAGGGTTTCACAGTGTGGAGCATTTATTAACTCTGATCACTGTGTAATCAAGAATATTTGCACTTGCTCTGAAATTTATAAACCCTATAACCATTTTTTTATAATGTGTGACTGCTGGCAGACACACTGAGCACATGTGGCAAAGACTTGGCACAACTGTCATCTAAAGCTCATCAGCCCTAGAAGAGGAATCTCAGCTACGCACAGTACGAAGCAGTATGACAATATTTTAGGACACATCTTACGAGAGGAATTGTAACGTACCCAAACGTAGACAGGAGAGCAAAACTGCTCCATCTAGGACACATTTCATTTTTGTTCCTGCCGCCTGCCTTGTTCACCGTATGCTGTTGTTTCGCCTTCTCATGCACATTCTTTTCCTGTTGCTCGTAAGACCTCTGGGGTTGGCCTTGTTCCTCTCCATCAACCGATTCCACATGCTGAATCTTATGTGTTGATGGAAGTTCTTGAGCTGCAAAATCCTGCTGGTAAGGGAAAAAAGGCAGAGTCGAAAGAGTGAGGAAAAAGTCCTTGTTTTATTTGCGTCAAAATGAACAAAATTTATGTGCTAAATTTTGATGGTAAAATTCTATGTAATCTGGTTGTAAATTTCTCCAGATGATGCTTAATAAAACAAAATAGTCATTCGGATTCGTCTTTTACTTCATGTGGAGTTCTGTGCTGTATTTTCCACCCACCCACTGCAGCGCTTTGTCTCCCTTCATTATTTGAGACACAATACGTATTAATGTCTGACAAAGTGTTGGTCATGTCCCTCCAAGAAGAGGCATATAAAACCTACAGAACAGTGTCAGCGGCAAATGAAAAACACAAAACTCACATAAAAGCCCTTTCTCAACAATATGCAGACCTGCATAACAACTCGGCCTTTATTGAGGTATTGGAATAAAGGAACACTTTCCCAGTGCTTTACACAGAAGAGGTCCCTCTTTGTTAATTGCCTGAACAATGTCAAAAAGTTTATTGTTTCTCGACATTCACCTAAAACCTTACAGCTTGGCTCAGACTAAGTAACGCCTTTGTGTCACTGTTATTCAGGTATGATTTTTTTTAAGTTTTCAAGGTCTTTATACCAAACTTTACAACCTATACACGAATGCCAATAAGACATACGAATGGTTTGCAGGCAGGAGAGTTTTTAATCACAGACACCTGCTTTTGCAGAAATAGCTCAGACTGTCATTGGCTGTTAGGGGCTCAGCATTTTTAAGGGCAGGGAAAAAGAATTAAGATGTATTTCTATGGGTTGTGTTCACGCACAAGCCGGAGCCAAGCATGCCCAATCACTTTTCCAAAGACTTGTTTTTCATAAAACACAAAGTGACCTGCTATTGGAAACATACAAGTCAATTCACCCAACCACAGACCCACAGTCTGACTTTATTAGGCTAACCAACCTTCTTTAATTCTATTATATGTGAAATGGACAAAGTCCATGTGCTTACGCAGAAGGGAACACTCCACATTTCTTGACATGCCACAGTAAAAAGTCCTATTACAGGTGCCTTTCTGCATCTTAAACCACCATCACCAAAACCTATTTTAAGCAGGACTGACGCCTGAGATCTGAACTCAAAAACATTTTTATAGCAGGTGACATTCAATCATTAGCACTATTCACATTTGTTCATTTGTCATTTTTCCAAAGCGTTTGACTACTAAAACATAAACCCTAACTATTTACATGTGTTTGTGGTAGAGATGCATCTAATTACTTAAGCCATACTGATGGAAAATCAGCAGGGTAGCAAATCTGAAGCCACTGGCCAGAAAACATCTGTCAGTGGCAGGATTCAAGCAGTTTCAACTGACTGGTTGTGACAGTGAGGGAGTCTCAATAAATTTTCAAGATGTGAATAACAAAAACAAATCTACAACCCAGGGAGTTTTTGCTCTCAGTGAGCATTATGTGCATGCAAATACGCAGTATGTCCAACTTCCAATCACGCTGTGATGTCAAAACGAATCCACAACACTGAACAGAGAAGGCGAGTCTGCTTCCTCCCTGTGTTGCAGCCATCGTCTCCTTTGGCTGCCTCTGCTCATTTGATTGAGGCTGTCTAATCTAATAGACCTGTTTAAAAAGACCTGCTTCCTCACACCGAAATGAGCAGATATGTTTGGAGATTAGGTGTTGTTATCTTTGGCTATCGCCTTTTGGGTTTGGGCTGTCTGTGTTGCAATCAGGGAACTGAGCAGAAGCTGTGCTAGATTGTGTTTCTGACAGACGCCGCTGCGATTGCTTTCTCAAATTAAAACTGGAATTTACCAGAATGACTGCAATTACTTAATATCGCATACGGACGACGCATATTGCACCATTTGATTGCCTTCGTCACCAATCAATCAAATGAATTTCAAAGCGAGGCATTTTAACGCCATCACATGAAAAGGATTAGCTGAAGTGGAGGCTGAGAGAAAATATTCAGCATTGAGATTCAAACAAAAGTTACTGGACACTGCATGCTGCACATTTTAAAGGAGTTCAAGAATCTGAGAGAAAAAGACCCTGACAATGATTTGTGCCTCCACCAACTCGTTCACAGCAATTTTTATTGCAGCTGTCCATCATTTTAAGATCGTTCAGATTCAAGGCACCACTCTTCACACAGCACTCGTAAAACATAAAAGCCTGAACGTCTTTTTTTGTTTTTTTTACACGGTTCACCCTGGCACCAGTCGTTGGTTTACTTAAGTCTTCGCTAACCCCATCGCAGCTTGCTATGGCACCTTCGGATCTACCACCTACTGTAAGAGGTCATAATGGCCGACCACTATTTCACAAATATATCAGAAACGTTATTAAATGCTATAAAGCCTTTGTGTAAGATTGTTCTAAAATTGGTCAGTATTTACTTATCTACTACTCCCTAAATAATAAAAAACAATGAATTTATTCTATATGGAGCAGTTAATTGAAACTTTTGAATAGGGACGGGTACCGAGCCCCGGGGCGAAATATTTAAATAGTGGAGGATCAATAAGCTCAGATGTTAACGATTCTGTTTACAGTACTTTAGAAAGTAAGAAGATGGTTGTGTTGCAAATTCTACCTCATCTCTGTAAGACGTGTGTCTGACATGTATGATGCATTTTTGCCTTCCAAATCCTGAACACACAGTCCTGGTGTGTTCGGAGTGAAGCAGCTCTGTGTCACCTGCAGCTTTGCAGCGACATACAGGTGACGAAGGTCCAAAAGTAGGATTTCATTCTCTACAGTTTTTGCAGAAAGTGTTTGTTCTCACAAAAGTAACAAGCAGAAACATAGCAGTCTGTCAAAACATTCAATAAAAGTTCATCACGTACAGACAGAGAAACGCACAGTTTGACCACTGAGCTCATAGTTCATCACTAACCAGGTACAGTCGTCCTCAAATGTATTCACACCCTTCCATTAAAGAAAAGGCAAAATTCACAATAGTCACTCATATAACTAGAAACTGAAAAAAGTAATAATAAATAAAAATTTGCTAAATTATCCATCCATCCATCCATTATCTATACACCGCTTAATCCTCATTAGGGTTGCAGGAGGGCTGGAGTCTATCCCAGCTGACTTAGGGTGAAGGCAGGGGACACCCTGGACAGGTTGCTGCTAAATTATAATTTAGTGAAATAAGACATTGCTTTTGAATTGTGGTTGAAAAGAACAATTA